CCAGTACTGAAGACAAAAGTATTTAATTGTTTATGAGGGAAAAATGAGAATTTAGAGTCCGTTAATTTGTGATATCTAAAGAAGGAGCATCATCTAAGTCAATGAGAAGGTTATTTCTTAGCAGTAAGCTTTTTTTATAGGACACAAAGGATTTGGAAAGACCATAGTTAGAAAACTACTAAGATTCACTACCCACCTCCTTTTTTCCCCCACTTTTGTTTGTCCTATGTATTTTTTCCCTTTGGCTTTTACTGCATTGTACCCAACGTTAACCTGGTAAATATACATAAAGTGTTTCTGCTAAGTTCTGTGAGTAGTTTTATCAAATCCTTTGAGGGAGGGAGTTATGGAAGCACATGATTTTTTCCCTTTAGCTTAGTGATTTGGGGGCCCCAAAATTTATTTTCCTTTCACAGTATATTTATGTGATCCTATATTGGGGGGGGGTGTGTGTGTGTTCATTTTTTGAAACAGTCTTGCTCTGTCACTCAGACAGGAGTGCAGTGGTGCAATCTTGGCTCTGCCTCCCAGGTTCAAGCAATTCCCTTCCTCACTCTCGAGTAGCTGAGATTATAGGTGCCTGCAACCACACCTGGCTTGTGTGTGTGTGTGTGTGTGTGTGTGTGTGTGTGTGTGTGTAGTAGAGATAGGGTTTCACCATCTTGGTCAGGCTGGTCTTGAATTCCTGACCTCATGAGCCACTGCCTCTGGCCTATATTTTTTATTGTTATGTTATTTTGACAAATTAGCCTCTTATTACCATATAGTGAAGTTCTTTTTTTTATGACAGATTTTTTTTTTCTAGAAGTCTCTTTTGTCTGATATGGCCACTCCTACACTTTTTTTTAGTTATTATTGGCTTGGAATAGTCTCATCCTTGAACCATTAACGTATGTGTGTCCTTAAATCTAAAGTAAGTCTTTTGTGCACAGCATATTGTTGATTTTACAAATCTATTTGGACATTTTGTGAGTGTTTTAGTTTATTTTTTACCTCAATAACAATATCCTAGAGTTGGTAATTTATAAAGAATAAAAGTTTGCTTAGCAAACAAACTTGTTTTAAGTAAATAGCTTTCTGAGATCTGTATTTTATTTTATTTATGTATTTAGAGACAGGGTCCTGCTATATTGATCAGGCTGGTTTTGACCTCCTGGGCTCAAGTAAAAGTTAACTTCTATGTGTAGAAAAATTAAACAGTTGTATTCCCTTCAACACTTTTTGTCACACTTTACAATTTTTATATAGTATGCCCATTAACAAATTATCGAGGCTATATGTATTTTAATACTTTTTTGTAGCTTTTATATCAGAGTTAAAAGTGGTTTATGCAGCATTGAGTTTTATAGCCTTCTACGTTTGACTATATATATTTTCCAATAAGATTTATACTTTTATGTTCTCTTGTTTTAAGTTAGAATTCCATTCTTACAACTTAAGAAATTCTTATTAGCATTTCTTGTAAGACAGGTCAAGTGAATATAAATTTCCTCAACTTAACTTGTTTAACCGGAGAATATCTTGATACTTCATTTCTAAAGAACAGCTTTGTCAGGTATAGTCTTCTTAGTTGTCAAAGTTTTTTCTTTTTCTCTCTTCATCTACACTTTAAATAGATGATCTCACTCCTATCTAGCTTGCATGGTTTCTGCTGATAACCTTATAGGGGTTCTCCGTATGAAAAAACTTCCTTTTTCTTGCTTCTTATTTATTTATTTATTTATTTATTTATTTATTTATTTATTTATTTATTTATTTATTTATTTTTGAGACAGAGTCTTGCTCTGTCATCAGGCTTAAATGCAGTGGTGCAATCTCAGCTCACTGCAACCTCTGCCTCCCGTGTTCGAGATTCTCCTGCCTCAGCCTCCTGAGTAACTGGGACTACAGGTGTGCACAACCACGCCCCAGCTGGTTTTTGTATTTTTAGTAGAGATGGGATTTCACCATGTTGTCCAGGATGGTTTCAATCTCCCAATCTCGTGATCCGCCCTTCTCAGCCTCCCAAAATTACAAGGCATCAGCCACTGCACCCAGCCTAGGACATATGTTTAAACAAACTTTTAAAATTTTTATATTTTTAACCTCCCAAAATATGTACATTTTTACAGTTTATTATGCAGTTTGGGCCCAAATACTTTATTCATTCTTTAATTCTTTTTAAAAAAATTATAATTAGGAACTTTCAAATCATTTAATTTTAACTTTGCTGTTTGTTTTTTTCCCGTATAACTGGCTCTTGTTAAAGGTTTCTCTTAAATTTTTTATTTCTTTTATTGCATTCTTCACCTCCAGCATATCCATTTGGTAGTCGTTCTTTACTATAATTGTAATTTTGTTCATGCATTCTTGTTAAAAAATATATATATATATATATATATTTTTTGCATCTCATTGAGATTCTTAAAGATAATTATTTTGAATTCTTAGCCATTTTTTACATCTGTGTTTTATTTTAAGTGGTTGCTGGAGCATTTTCAGTTTCCTTTGGTGATGTTATGTTTGCCTGATCCTTTAGTATCTGTAAAGGCTTGTTTTGATGTTCTTGCTTCTGATGGAACAAATAACCTGTTTCAGTCATTATAATTTGGGGAGGTAAATACTTCTCCTGTTGGATCTCTGGGCTGATGATATTTCCACTGAGATTGCAATTAAATGCATTGGATCCAGGTCACATAACTACTACTGGGTCTGCAGTGAAATTCATGCTTGCCAGACCTGTTATCAGGCCATCAGTCAGTTGTGGATTCTGTCTTATTTTCTGGGAAGACTAACTTTCTTTAAGAACATGATCAGTAATACCAGCAATGAGAAAAAAAAATCTCCAGTTATATATGCAGATGGGAGTGCTGATACAATAAATGTGAGCAGGTCTGGCTCCTGCTCTGTGGCTCTTGCTGGATGTTTCAAAATGCTCTAATCTAGTCATTGCACAGGTTCCTAGATGAGCAGTACTGACACTTGATCACAGCTGAGAGGGTGTAGAACTGATTCATATAGGGCTGTTTTAGGATACACAGCTGAGACCAAAGTCTTCAGGTATGTTTCTGGGTTCATAGTCTTTCTCCCTTCCAGATTTCTGGGTTGGCAGGTCTGCTCCCAGACTCTAGCTGAAGGGACTAGAGCTGGGTTATAGAACTGCTTCACGATTCACAGTGGGAATAAAGTCAGCCACCATGCCTACAATGGCATATATAGGTGTGCTTTTTGGCAGGTCCCAGGTTAGTAAAAACTGCTTCTGGACTTTGGTTGTATGGACTTGGAGCCAGGGTATAGTGCCACATCAAGCTTCTCCATCAAATATTGGCAAACCTATATCCAAGGGCACAGATGGGTGTTTCTCTCTGTGGGTCCCTATGTGTTTGGAATTTCTCCCACACCATGACTGACTTGTGCAAGGGATGGATTTGGGGCTAATTCAGAGATTGCAGACAGAAACAACATCCAAAGGCCTTTCACCTGAGACACAGGACATAATGAATCTTCCTAGGTGTCTTGGCAGATGGTGCTAGTGGTGGAAACAAAACCAAATGTTTTACAGCTAATTCTGCAATAAGGATTGGACATATTTTTTATTCTGTACCCGGGACTATGATGGGTAGGCATGCACATGCCACTCAAGGGCATGCCCTCTTAATACAGCCCTCCACAGTCTTGGGTTCTTCTGTTTTTATGATACATCTATATTACATTCAATATTGTATAGGTCAGAAATTTTCTATTGTTTCAACTCCATTTTACTGGGGAGTTTTTTCATGTAGGTTCTCCTCAATTATGTGTATTTTTGTTTTAATCTTTATATTTGCATGGTAATTTTAAACTCTTTACCTTTTATGACCCTGTGGTGTTTAATTCAAATAAAAGTCATTGGGTTTCACTCTGAGCAAATTAAAATAATATATATAAATCAGACATTTCTATTGCCTATAAAAAAGTTACCTATGTGGTATTTGCCGATATACATATTGCCCCTACGTTGTTTGTAAATTATTTATTCACTTGGGTGGTCATCAGTGTTTTCTTGTGTAGGTGAGTAGTCAAAGAAACAGTGTAAAATTATCACCTATTTGATTATAAGTTATTCTATGAGATAAACACTTGTTATTTGAAGGCGATTTTTGAAAAATGTAACGTTTTTAGGTAGATATAAATATTTGTGATAAAAACTTAATAGTGCTAAGTTAAACATTTTCTCTTTCTTTTTTTTTCCCCCCAAGACAGAGTTTCACTCCTGTTGCCCAGGCTGGAGTGCAGTGGCGCGATCTTGGCTCACTGCAGCCTCCACCTCCCAGGTTCAAGCGGTTCTGCTACCTCAGCTTCCCGAGTAGCTAGGATTACAGGCATGCACCAACACACCTGGCTAAGTTTTTATTTTTAGTGGAGATGGGGCTTCTCCATGTTGGTCAGGCTGGTCTTGAACTCCCAACCTCAGGTGATCCACCTGCCTCAGTCTCCCAAAGTGCTGGGATTATACAGGCGTGAGCCAACGCACCCAGCCAACATTTTCAAGTATACAGTCTAATGGTGTTAAGTACATTTACTTTATTTTGCAGTGGATTTCTAGATTTTACCTTACATAAGTAAAGTTTAATACCCTAAAAACAATAAGCTACCTTTTTTTTCTCTTTCTCCAGCTCCTGAGGAATACCATTTTACTTACTGTTTCTATAATTTTATAATTCTCAGTGTAATTATATAATGTCTGTTTGATTCTCTTATTTTACTTAAGGTAATGTTCTCAGGCTTTGTTTTATAAGATGTGTCAGAATATCTTTCTGTTTTAAAATGAAATCATATTTCATTGTATGTATATGCCAATTTTTAAAATCTGATACTGATAAAGGAACATTTGTTTTATTTCCAGTAATTGTCTTTTGTAAATAATGATGAATGAATATACATGTGTAAATATCCATTTAAAGTCCTGCTTCAAACATCCTTGGGGTATTTTGAATACAGTGATAGTATCATGTATATGTCCATATTTTTTGTTTTCTGAGGCTTTGATGTTGTATCCAAAAAGTGATTGCCAAGACTGGTTGCATGAAGCCTTCATCAAATATGGTGGGGTTTTTTGTTTTGTTTTGTTTTTGGAGACAAGAGTCTCTCTCTGTTGCCCAGGCTGGAGTGCAGTACAATCTCGGTTCAGTGCAACCTCCTCCTCCCGGTTTCGAGCAATTCTCCTGCCTCAGTCTCCCAAGTAGCTGGGACTACAGGTGCGCACCACCATGCCTGGCTAATTTTTGTATTTTTTAGTAGAGATGGGATTTCACCATATTGACCAGGCTGGTCTCAAACTCCTGACCTTGTGATCTGCCTGCCTTGGCCTCCCAAAGTGCTGGGATTACAGGCATGAGCCACCACTCCTGGCCTCCTTCATTATATATGTTTTTACTAGATTCCACGCACGTGTGAGATCATGTGGTGTTTTTCTTGATGTATCTGGTTTATTTCATTTAAGGTAATGGCCTCCAGATTCATTCATGTTTTTGCAAATAGAAAACTTTTATTCGTTTTTGTACATTGAATAGTATATTTTTGTGTATATATAGTACTTTTTAAAATTCATCTGGTTTTGGACATTAGCATTTGGATTGATTCCATATCTTGGCCATTGTAAATAGTGCTATAAAAAATATGGGAATTAGATATCTGACATACTTCTTTCATTTTCTTTAGCTACAAAGAAAATAGAATTAACATATGCTCCAGCAACACTGTTTAATTAAAAAATTAAAAATAAAACCACCATGATACAGGAACTTACATTTGTGTGTGTGTGTGGTCATCACTGTTTTATTGTGTAGGTGAGGAATCAAAGAAACAGTTGTAAATTACCATCCATTTATTGCTTAAATATATGTTATCGTGTGATACATTTTTTTTTTAATAATGGCCCTACTAACTCACAGTCTTACCAACCATGTGTTAACTTTTCTGTACATTCTCACTAACATTTTTTTTTTGTCTAATTAGTCATTCTAACTGGAGTAAAGTGGTATATTATTGTGGCTTTGATTTGCATTTCTTTGATAATTAGTAATGTTGAACGGCTGTGCATGTACCTTTTGGCCATTTGTATTTCTTCTTTAGAAAAATATCTTTTAAAGTCTCTTGCATATGTTTTTAATTGAGCGTTATTTTTGTTGTTGGTTATATTGTAAGTTTACCTTGTCATGTATATTTTGCAAATATATTCTTTCATTCTGTACATTATCTCTTCACTCTGTTTTCTTTGCTGTGCAAAACACTTTTAGCTTATTCTAATCTCATTTGCATATTTTTGCTTAATTTGTTTGTGTGTGACTTAAAGATTCTTTGCCCTGTAATTTGTGGTAAAGCATTCCTCTATACTTCAAATAGCTTTATAGGTTTGAGTTTCTCGTTTAAATCTTTGTGATTGAGTTTTTATATCATAATAGGTAGGGGGCCTAGTATTGTTTTTGTTTGTTTGTTTGTTTGTTTTAATTATCATGTGGTTAACTAGTGTTTCTAGTAACATTTATTGAAAAGACTGTTTTTGTTTTTATTTTTCCAAATGTGTGTTCTGTGGACATCTTTGTTAAAAATCACTTGGCTCTAGGTTCGTGAATTTATTGCTGGGCTCACTGGATACTTTGATATCTCTATTTTTATGCCAATATTATGCTGTTTTGCTTATTATAGCTTTATGGTATATTTTGGAGTCAGGTAGTGCAGTGCCTCCAGCTTTGTATGTTTGTTTGTTTTTGCTCATGATTACTTTGGCTATCTGGGGGTGTTTGGTTGTTCCTTATACATTTTAAGCTAGTTTTTTTCATTTCTTTGAAAACAGTCATTTCTTTGGTATTTTGCTAGAGGCTGCATTGAATCTGTAGAACAACTTGGGTAGTGTAGCCACTTATAACATTATTTCAGTTCATGAGCAAAAAAATATTTTTTAGATTTTCATGTCATTTTCAGTTTCTTACTAATGTTTTTTACGTCTCATTATAGAGAGTGTTCACCTTTTTAATTAAGTTTGCTGCTAGACATCTTTATTTTTTATTGTGGATGCAGAAGCAGCATTGGGCAAAATTGAACATGTCTTTGTGATTTTAAGAACTCAACAAATTAGGTATAGATGGTATATACCGCAACACAATAAAGGCTGTATATGACAAATTGATGGCTAATATACTGGACAGAAAAGAGCAGAAAACTTTACTTTTCAATTTTTTCATTTTACTTTAAGTTCTGGGGTACATGTGCAGAATGTGCAGGTTTGTTGCATAAGTATACACGTGCCATAGTGGTTTGCTGCACCTGTCAACCCATCATCTAGGTTTTAAGCCCTGCATGCATTAGGTATTTGTCATAATGCTCTCCCTCCTCTTGCCCCCCCATACCCCCAGTAGGCCCTGGTGTGTGATGTTCCCCTCCCTATGTCCAGGTGTTCTCATTGTTCAACTCCCACTTATGAGTGAGAACATGTGGTGTTTGGTTTTCTGTTCCTATGTTAGTTTGCTGAGAATAATGGTTTCCGGCTTCATCCATGTCCTTGCAAAAGACATAAACTCATTTCCTTTTTATGGCTGCAATAGCAGAAAACTTTTTATCTGAGATATGGAACAAGATAAGGATGTTTTCATTTTATATTAAAATTGTGTATGACAATATTTCACTGTGTACGCTTTGTGGAAGCACAAGTCAAATATGGATCAGTGATATGTCTATTTCCAATATAAGAAACTATCTGCATGCATATTGTTCCTTATTGTTTATGAGTTGTATACTTGTTCTGGTTTTTTTTTAATACAGTGGTGATTTTGCACTGCCTAGGTGAGTCACCATTGAAATTCTTCTAATTTTATCTGCCATTTATTTATAAATCTATGGTTTTACATCTTCCCACTGTATCTGTTTTAGCTATTCTTTTTTTTTTTTTTTTTTTTTTTTTTTTTTTTTTTTTTTTTTTCTTGCTCGGTCGCCAGGCCGGAGCACAGTGGCACAATCTCGGCTCGCTGCAGCCTCTGCCTCCCAGGTTCAAGTGATTCTTCTGCCTCAACCTCTTGAGTAACTGGGACTACAGGCGTGTGTCACCACCCTGGCTAATTTTTGTATTTTTAGTAGAGACGGGGTTTCACCATGTTGGCCTAGATGGTCTCAATCTCTTGACCTTGTGATCCGCCCACCTTGGCCTCCCAAAGTGCTGGGATTACAGGCATGAGCCACCGCACCCAGCCTTAGATATTTTAATTGTCATCAAAACACATAAACTTTATAATCTTAAATAATTTTAAATATTCAGCTTAATCATATATTGATGTTGTTATTCACTGTATCTCTAGAATATGTTTATCTTGCAAAGCTAACACCCGGTACACAACTACCTTTTCTGTTTTTTGGCCCTTTACAAAAACAATTCTGTTCTCTATTTTAGAGTCAAACTGCTTTAGATATCTCATGTGAGTTGATTCATATAGTTTCTCTCTCTTCGTGGTTGACTTCATGTTGCACAATGTCATCAAGATTTATCCTTATTATACATGTTACAATATTTTTTGCTTTTACACACTGGAGTAATCTTTTATTATTTCATTATCTTTATCTGTTTATGTGGTGAGAGAAATTTGCATGGCTTTCATTTATTTGCTTTCAGTAACAATGCTACAATAATTATGAATGTACAAATTATTCTTCATGTGACCATATGTGTGAGAATGTATATTTTTGCTGGATTTTATATTGATCTGGCTGTTCAGCTGTATACCCATGCCAATTTTTTTTTAATTCTTTAGCTTTGTATGTGTTTTGATATCATGAACTGTGGTGCCACCAACATTGTTTCTCTTTTTGAAGATTGGTAGATGCTTCACTGTCCTTTGAAATTTTGTATAATTTGGGGGTTGCTATTTCTATTTCTGTAAAAATTTAATTAAAAATTTGACAGTTTGCATTTAATATGCAGATTACATCAAACAGTCTAGATATCTTCATAATATTAATTATTTGAAACTTTGAATAAGAGCATGCTGAAGAGTATGGTGTTTAGTTTCTATAAACATGTCAATTTTTTAGTTTTCTTTGTTGAGACAGAGTTTTGCTCTTGTTGGCCAAGCTGGAGTGCAATGGCGGGATCTCAGCTAACCACAATCTCCACCTCCCGAGGCCATATATGACAAGTGATTCTCCTGTCACAGCCTCCCTAGGAACTGGTATTATAGGCATGCCCAGCTAATTTTGTATTTTTAGTAGAGACAGGGTTTCTCCATGTTGGTCAGGCTGGTCTTGAACTCCCAACCTCAGATGATCTGCCTGCCTCAGCCTCCCAAAGTACTGGGATTACAGGCATGAGCCACTGCACCTGGTCAGTTTTCTTTTTGTTTGTTTGTTTGTTTGAGACAGAGTTTTGCGCTTATTGTCCAGGCTGGCATGCAGTGGTGCAGTCTCAGCTCACTGCAACTTCCGCCTCCCGGATTCAAGTGACTCTCCTGCCTCAGGCTCCCGAGTACCTGGGATTACAGGCATGTACCACCACGCCCAGCTAATTTTGTATTTTTACTAGAGACAGGGCTTCTCCATATTGGTCAGTCTGGTCTCAAACTCCTGACCTCAGATGATCCGCCTGCCTCAGCCTCCCAAAGTACTGGGATTACAGGCATCTGCCAGCATGCCTGGCCCAAGCTTTCTTTTTTTAATTAATTTCTATTCTCATTCCAGTTTGATCATTAAGTGTAATTTGTAAATTTTTGATTTTAAAAAATTTGTTAAGACTTTTTTGTGAGGGGAAGGAAAGAAAAATAGACTTTTTTGTGGCCTAACACATTCAGGGAGAATATTGTTTGAGCTATTCATATTCAGAAGGATATGTATTCTCTGCTGTTGTTGAAGAGTGTTCTCTACAATTCTGTTCGGTATAATTGTTTTATACTGCTTCAAGTCTTCTATTCCCTTATGAATATTCTGTCTTTTTTGATTATTCATTATAGAAATTGAGGTATTAAAACATCTTACTATAATTATATTGCTCTCTATGTCTGCTTTACTTCTGTCAGTATTTGCTTTATATATTTGGAACTCTAAGAGAGAGAGACACACACACACACACACTAATATAGGATATACAGACATTTTTCAGGGATTCCAAGTCAACATTTTTATCATAGTTTGATGTTCTTCTTTGTCACTTATGAGCCTTTAGTTAAAATATATTTTATGAAATAGGACAGTTTTTGACTTAAGATGTACTTTGAGTAATATGATTTTGACCTCTTCTATTTTATTATTTGCCTCAAGTTTTTTTCTTTCATCTTGCCTTTTTCAATCTCCTTTAATCATTAGATCTCAAGTGACTCTTGTAGAAAAGCAAGTTGTATCTTGCTTTTTGATTTCTTAAATTATTTGGTGCATGTATTTCGAATGTAAAGTTTACTTTGTAAATATTTAAATAATTTGCTGAAATAGAAAGCCTTATTCATGTTATTAATTGTTTCACTCGATTATCGTATCTTTGTCCCTTATTATTTTTCTGCCTTTTGTGTCCTTTTGATTTTTGTATTGATAGAATTTTACTTCTTATTTTTTTATGTATCTATACAGATACTTACTTTGTGGTATCTTGGAAAATACATAAAATTTCTCAAAGTATAACCTTAAGTTGCATTTGAAAATTCTTCCTCATTATATCTGCCCTTGACTTTGTTATTAATTTTACTAATTATATTTTAATGTTGTGTATTAACAGATCATGGTGAATAGTTTATGAACATTTTATGCTCTTTAAAATTTTAGAGAATAATTAAAATGTTTTCTGCACTATCATAATAATGGTACAGAACCTTACATTTGTATATGTGCATGTCTTTATCAGAAAGTTATGTATTTTCTTATGATTATGTTTTCTTGCATCATACTGTTTTCAGTGGAAGATACTTTTCTTCAGCATTTCTTTTGTAACGCAGGTATTAACGCTAATACACTTTTTCAATATTTGGTTCTCTTGAAAGTGCTCTACTTTTTCTTCATTTTTAGAACAGTTTGGCTGGTTTTATTATTCCCACTTAGAAGCTGTCTTTCAGCATTTTAACTATATCATAATTCCCTCTTGTCTAAAAAAAAATTGTTGACAGATTCAGTGACTATCTAAGACCACACTTAAAATTACACATCACTTTTATCTTGCAGCTCCTAAGATTCTCTTTCTTTGACTTTTGAAAATTTGCTTATATGTGTACCTTTTTTTAAATCTGTGTATGTATCCTAGTTGAAGTTTGTTGAGCTTCATTTTTTACATCCTTCTCTTTTGAAATTTTCTGTCATTATTTTTGTATTTTTCACCTCCACAATTTGTTTTTTATATTTTTTATGTTTTCATTGATAGTCTTACTTTTCTTGTTATATTTACTTGTATGTGTTCCCATTTAGCTCACTGAGCATTATTCAGGTTAAATTTTTAAAATTTGTACATCTTCATTTTTTATGGTTGTTTTCTGAAAAGTTTTAAATTTTTTAATTAGGCCATGTTGCCCTAATACTTTGTATATATTGTAATATTTGCTTGTTATTTGAACATTAACATAAAGCTGTGACAATATTTACAATGTTACTTTGTCCTGACATAATCTGAATCCAATTGTCTTTGCTGGAGACAATGGGAGCCTCTCATACATCTAAGGATGTGTCTTGTCTGGAATTTTAGGTTTATTGTTCGGTTTAAAGGGTTTGATCATGTTTCTTCTTAACAGTCTCTAATCACTATTCTATCTATTCCCTGTACTTAATACTGCAGTCTGCTCCTGAAACATTTGGTCTTAACAGACCCAAGCTATTCTTCCAAAGTATACCACCATTTCTGTCAGCTGTCTCTGTTACTGGAGACAGAAACCAGATTTTGTAAAGACCGCCACAAACAAGAAGTAATGATATATGTGTCAGTATATTTCTTCTAAATAAGAAGCCAGAAGTTGAAAATTTACTCCTGTAGGCATTGTGCTATATTGGGGAGGAGAAAGAGCTGTGGTGGGTAAATGTAACAAACTTTCCTTCCTGTTCATGTGGTTCTTGGCATTGTGCTTACCGGAGGCATTCCATAGAATTAACTCATTTAAAAATTTTGCAACAAGGCATTTTGGTCAGTATATTTTTGTTACAATTATATGTCTGTGAAGAAATTATAACCTGTGATACTTTGTTATGCTAGCTTACTAATGTAGTTTGTATACGTTTTATATATTAGATTCATAAAGTATATTCATATGAATCTAGTAAGTGGGATAATTTATTTTTATTTATTTCAGCTACGTGTTCTCCTTTCACCCAAGACCTTTCACCAGTTCAGGGGACAGAAGATTCTTTCCATAAACGTATACTGAGAAGATGTGAGAAATGTGGACATGAGAATTTACGATTAAGAAAAGACTATAAAGGTGTGAATAAGTGTAACGTGCAGAGAGGAGTTTATAATGGACTTTACCAATGCTTGTCAATTTCCCAGAGCAAAATATTTCAGTGTAATGCATGTGTTGAAGTTTTTAGTAAATTTTCAAATTCAAACAAACAGACAAAACACACTGGAGAGAAACCCTTTACATGTACAGAATGTGGCAGATCATTTTACGTGTCACACCTAACTCAACATACAGGAATTCATGCTGGAGAGGAACCCTGCAAATGTGAAAAATGTGGCAAAGCCTTTAATAGTTCCACATCCCTTACTAAACATAAGAGAGTTCATACTGGAGGGAAACCCTACACGTGTGAAGAATGTGGCAAAGCCTTTAGACGGTCCACAGTGCTGAATGAACATAAGAAAATTCATACTGGAGAGAAACCCTACAAATGTGAAGAATGTGGCAAAGCCTTTACACGGTCCACAACGCTGAATGAACATAAGAAAATTCATACTGGAGAGAAACCCTACAAATGTAAAGAATGTGGCAAAACCTTTAGATGGTCCACAAGCCTGAATGAACATAAGAATATTCATACTGGAGAGAAACCCTACAAATGTAAAGAATGTGGCAAGGCCTTTAGACAGTCCAGAAGCCTGAATGAACATAAAAATATTCATACTGGAGAAAAACCCTACACATGTGAAAAATGTGGCAAAGCTTTTAACCAATCCTCAAGTCTTATTATACACAGAAGCATTCATTCTGAACAAAAACTTTACAAATGTGAAGAATGTGGCAAAGCCTTTACTTGGTCCTCATCCCTTAATAAACATAAGAGAATTCATACTGGCGAGAAACCCTACACATGTGAAGAATGTGGCAAAGCCTTTCATAGGTCCTCACATCTTGCTAAGCATAAGAGAATTCACACTGGAGAGAAACCCTACAGATGTGAAGAATGTGGCAAAGCTTTTAACCAATCCTCCACTCTTATATTACACAAGAGAATTCATTCTGGGCAAAAACCTTACAAATGTGAGGAATGTGGCAAAGCCTTTACACGGTCCACAACTCTGAATGAACATAAGAAAATTCATACTGGAGAGAAACCCTACAGATGTAAAGAATGTGGCAAAGCCTTTATATGGTCCACAAGCCTGAATGAACATAAGAAAATTCATACTGGAGAGAAACCCTACAAATGTAAAGAATGTGGCAAAGCTTTTAACCAATCCTCAGGCCTTATTATACACAGGAGCATTCATTCTGAACAAAAACTTTACAAGTGTGAAGAATGTGGCAAAGCCTTTACTCGGTCCACAGCCCTGAATGAACATAAGAAAATTCATTCTGGAGAGAAACCCTACAAATGTAAAGAATGTGGCAAAGCCTATAACTTATCCTCAACCCTTAATAAACATAAGAGAATTCATACTGGAGAGAAACCCTTCACATGTGAAGAATGTGGCAAAGCCTTCAATTGGTCCTCATCCCTTACTAAACATAAGATAATTCACACTGGAGAGAAATTCTACAAATGTGAAGAATGTGACAGAGCTTTTTCTCGGCCCTCAACCCTTACTGTACATAAGCGAATTCATACTGTCAAGGAACATATTTGATAACATAGTTGAATGACATTGCTAAGTAATTTTTTCTTCCAGTGTCTTTAAACAAATAAATTCAAGAATATTGTTCCCATATGATTAATTTGTATTCTTTTTTGTTTTAGATAAAATTATTTTTAAAAATTTTTGTAGGTACATAGTATGTATATATATTTATGGTATATATGGGTTGTTTTGATGGGGCATACCACATGTAATTATCACATCAGAGTAAATGAGTTATTCATCACAAGCATTTATTTGTATTACACACATTCCAGTTATACAATTTATTTATTTTGAGATGGAGTCTCGCTCTGTCATTCAGGCTGGAGTGCAATGGCACAACCTGGGCTCCTTGCAATCTCCACCTGCCGGGTTCAAGCAATTCTCCTGCCCCAGCCTCCTGAGTAGCTGGGACGCCCAGCTAATTTTTTGCATTTTTAGTAAAGATGGGGTTTCATCATGCTGGCCAGACTAGTCTCAATCTCCTGACCTTGTTATCCACCCATATTCGCCAACAAAATGCTGGGATTACAGGCATGAGCCACTGCACCCAGCCACTTTACTTTTAACTTTATAATTATTTTTTTGCTTGTTATTTTATGATTATAGTATATCAGAGTATACAGCTAGTGCTCGACTTACAACCACAATTGGTTCCGGTAGACCGGTCATAACACAATTTGGTCGTAAGTTGAGTAGGCTATATGTACAGTACTGTGAAATGATGTTATAAAAATCTTTGTCGGCCGGGCGCGGTGGCTCAAGCCTGTAATCCCAGCACTTTGGGAGGCCGAGGCGGGTGAATCACGAGGTCAAGAGATCGAGACCATCCTGGTCAACATGGTGAAACACTGTCTCTACTAGAAATACAAAAATAAAAATAAAAAATAAAATAAAATAAAAATCTTTGTCATATTTTATCATAATTTTCTTTCATTATTGTTATATATCATAATTTTCTTTGTTCATTTTATGCCATTTGTATCATCTCTACACCATTTTGTTTTTTATTTTTACATTCGTCAGGTTTAAGTAAAACACTACATTACCAGTACAACTGGTTTAATATTTGCAAAACATACAAAATTACAAAATACAGGTGTAAAAAATACCATAGGAAACATTTTCTCAATTGCAAAACATATCAAAATATAATGTACAAAACATTTTATTGGCCGCTGGTGCTTGGCTGAGGATCGTTGATGTGGTCACCTCAAGCAGCAGTTGGGGTTACTGGAGTTGGTTTTTTCATAAACATGGTGAGCTTTGTCTGAATGGTATTTTTCTTTTTTTCTTCATAAATTTCACAATATGGCCGAAACACGTCGTGCGCCATCCGTTCAATCCTTGCAAATTGTTCGATGTTTGGGTCCATTGCTTCGAAATGTATAAGAAGTTTATTGGGAGGGGTTTGATGAAAAATATCCAAGACACAAAACACAAATTGCTGTACCGAGTCTGGGATAACAGTTGAAATGGTGCACGCGGAGATGGTAGTGCTGCCAGAAGCTGGTCTGCACTGTCGTATGCCCAGCTGGGCAACGTGTGCGCTGCCACACGTGGAGCAGTCATGGCTAGCGATTGTGTTTGTAAAGTCGAATGGTCGTAAGTTGCATAGGTCGTAAGTCGATCAATACCTGTAATTGTAATTCTCACATTTCTGTGTCATGAATGCTTTAAAAAAAAATGTTCCATGGCTCATGGGCCTGTAGTCCTGCTACTCGGGAGGCTGAGGTAGAGGAATTGCTTGAACCCAGGAGGCAGAGATTGCAGGGAGCCAAGATCACACCACTGCACCCAGCCATTTTAATTATTTTTAACTTTATAATTATTTTTTTGCTTATTTTATGATTATATCAGAGCATAATTGTAATTCACAGATTTCTGTGTCATGAATGCTTTTAAAAAATGTTCTGTGGCTCATGGGCCTGTAGTCCCAGCTACTCAGGAGGCAGAGGCAGAGGAATTACTTGAACCCAGGAGGCAGAGATTGCAGGGAGCTGAGATCACACCACTGCACTCCAGCCTGGCGACAGAGCAAGGCTCCATCTCAAAAAAAAAGGACCATGTTCTTCTTTGAACATGTAACATCTCTTCCTGCAAACAAATAGATACTTAATTTACATGGAGTTAAATATGTAAATGTATTACTCTAATGATAAAACTTAGATGTAAGAAAATTACGGAGCAAGCAGTTGTGTCTGTGTGAGTTTTCTTTTTTCCAAAGAAAATAGCAATACTGGAACAAAGAAGATTATTTTAGTAAGGTGGATAATTTGCTGGAAATCTAGAAACCTAAAGCATTCTGAAATCAAATCTATATTTTCTTAATTACTGTAATATTTAATGATCATTGTTGAGACTCCCTCAAGCAAATTCTATTTATGTGTCTGTTACTCATTCTAAAGCTATAATTTGCTTGTTTCTTACATTTTTTTGTTTGTTTTTACTTCATGAAGTATTTATTATGTGAGCTGGTCAGAAATTATAATATTTTTTTATAAAATTTAGTAGTGCACACAAAATTTTTAAATGGAAATTCACATTTCTTGTATTAAGTTTTAGAGCATTTCATTTTATTGCTTTAATTGAATTATTGTATATGAACTGATTAGTTATCCTTTCACTTTTTAAAAATGACATAAATGAGTTTATCGTGCCAATTGTTCAGGTAAGTACTGGGAAAACTTTGTAATTCATAGGATGTTTTGATATGTAATTATCGTAAACATAAGTACTGGGTGTGTAATAGATGCTCCGTAATTAGCCACAAGTATTCTTTCTGGAGTTCGTAGCTCCAAATAAGAGATTGAAAATATCTATGGTGAAGAAATGGCAGTCTGCATGTGGAGAGATCTGTTCCCAGGCTGCAAAACTAACTGACTGTGAACTTAAAGAGAATTTCTGCTTTTCTAATTATCTTTTTGTGATGTATTTACTCCTAGGTATATATGCCTCACAGCCCTGTTTTGTTTTATGGCTACAGTTTCGTCACTGTTCTCTTTATGCCGTGTAATTTCATACAGACTTTCTGCGTTCTGATTAGAAGTTTGAAATCTTTTAATGTGGTAAATTGTTTTTAACTCGAGTGTTTGAGGTTATTTATAGCTTGTCAATGCAATATTTAGATCACTAAATTGAGATAAGTCATTTATTGTCCACAGGGCATTCGTGGAACACGAAGTGAAATACCAGGAGCTGGTTCTGGAGTTTTGGAGGGCAACCCCAGGCCCCAGTGTGGGTCCCAGCCTCTGGCACACTGGTACATGCCCAAAGTACCCCTCAGGCCACCACCACTCTCATCAGGGCCGTTGCTGCTACCATTGTTACAATCTGTGCCTGCAGTCCCCTGGTGCCTGCTCCAGGTGGCAGATGACTTTGCTCCCAGCATTCACACCTTTTTATTCCATCTGTGCAGGAGCACTTTATAATTCTGAATCTGTTTTAAAAATCATTTTACTTGAGCTAGCTCATATAAAAGGAATTACATACACTTTGTCACTATGTTTTTGATATATTCCACTGAACATTGATGTCTTAAAGTTTTATGCTTGTTGTAGCATGTGCATGATTTGCTTTCTGAAGGTACAGCCATATTCCATTGCATGCATATGCCATATGTTAACCATTTATCAAGAAACCTTAAGTAGCCTTCACCTTTTTTATGGGCGGGGGAGGGATGCTCTTAAAAACGGGTACAGGCCAGGCACAGTGGCCTATGCCTATAGTCCCAGCACTTTGGGAGGTCGAGGCAGGTGGATCACTTGGGGTTGGGAGTTCAATACCAGACTGACCAACACAGATAAATCCCACCTCTATTAAAAATACAAAATTAACCGGGCGTGGTGGCACATACCTGTAATCCCAGCTACTCAGGAGGCTGAGGTAGGAAAATCACTTGAACTTGGGAGGCAGAGGTTGTGGTGAACTGAGATCACGTCATTGCACTCCAGCCTGGGCAACAAGAGCGAAACTTCATCTAAAAAAAAAAGTGTGTGCAATTGTCTATTCCAGGTCCTGCTTTGCATACATAGATTCCCAGAAGTGAGATTGATGGATTGTATAATAATTTCTTTTATCTTTTTTTCTTGAATTGTATAATCATTTCTTCTTTCTTTTGGATTGTATGATAATTTCTTTCTTTCTTTCTTTGGATTGTATATAATTTCTTTTTTCTTTTCCTTTTTTTTTAGATTGGGTTTCACTTTGTCACCCAGCCTAAAGTGCAGTGGTGTAATAATGGCTCACTGCAGCCTTAACATTCCAGGCTCAATCCTTCCACCTCAGTCACCTAAGTAGCTGGGACTACAAGCACATGCCACACATCTGGCTAATTTTTGTATTCTTTGTAGAGGTAGGGTCTCATTATATTTCCCAAGCTGAAAATAAACTTCTGAGCTCAAGTAATTCTCCCACCTTAGCCTCCCAAAATGTTGAAATTACAGGCATGAGCCACATTTCATTTTTAATATTTTGTAAAACCTCCATCCTACTCTCTTGAGGGCTGCATTATTCTTTTTCCCCAACAGTGCATGGAGGTTCCAAATGCTCTATATACTTGACAACATTGATTACTTTTTATTTGTTGAATAGTGGCCACGCTAATGGGTGAGAGGTAAGAGCTCATTGAGATTTTGCTTTGCATTCTTCTCAGAAGTGATTTTGATTGTGTTTTCAGATTCCTCTTGTTTTTGCATAGCTTCTTTTGGGAAATGTCTTGGAAGACAGTCCATTTTTTTAAATTAAGTTACTCACTTTTGGTGATAGTTATGTTTCAGAAGTCAAAGGCTGGATGACATTTGTACTCCACTTAATGTTTCCCTTGATGTGCTGATGTGCAGGTTTTTAAAGTTTATTGATATAGTACCTTTTCTAATTCTCTTGTTGCTTCTGCTTTTAATGTGATATTTTAAAAAAACTGCCAAAACCAATGTTTTTAGGCTTCTCCCTATGTTTTCTTCTAAAGGTTCCAGAGGTATATATCTTACCTTTAAGTATTGTTTATATAAAATATTTTGTTTGCATGTTATCGAAGCAAGTGGTCCAAGTTCATTATCTTTCATTTAGCCCTTTCTCACACCATTTGTTGA